AGGAGCACTAAGAGCATCCTGGTTCCCAACCCAGCAGTACGTACAGCCAATGCACACCCACACTCTGCCTTTCCCACTGGGTGGTCGTGGTCGACACTGGCGGCTTGTCAATCGCATGACACACCAAGGAAGCAAGGAAAGGATCGGCAGTATTTGATTTAAGTGGTGCAGAGGTCCTTGCCTTCAGATCTGAAACCTGGCAACCCACTTTGTTTGTAATCTGCATGGCAGATGTCTCTTATCTTTGACACCAGGAAATCATGCCTATATATGCACAGTGAACAGCTTTAGATCTGAGTGTATTTTTAGAACAATGAGCCTGGAAAAGAAAAGCAGCAATGCCTGTCAAAAGATGGATAACAGGAAAGCTAACTACTTGGGTCTGGATTTGTCAACTATTAATCAAATGTCAAAAGGAAAAATATTAGGAGTGCTCTCATTTCCATGCTGGGTACAATTGAGGGGAAACAGCTCTACAGCCCAAGCTCAGACTGCCCACACCGTTTAAGGGGACGAGCTACTAATTTCAAGCTCAGCTGAACTAATGGATCACCTCTGCAGCTCCTGATCCGCTCAAATATAATAGGCCCACGTGTGGGTGAAGAGAGGAGCTGGGGCTCTGACGGGGATGAAACAAACCAGCCTGCGCCAGTCTCTGTGCGTCCAGGGCTTGAAGGCACCAGGCTGGTTCTTTGATGGGCTGGATCCTACTGCTAGAAAGAAAGTGGGGAAGTCAGTTGGTAAATGAACCTTCAAACCAGGTCCTGACTTCTCACGCAAAGGGCGGTAGGAGGAGGTAGCACAATTAACATGAAAAAGATCATTCTGAGGAGAAAACCTTGGTTCAGATTTTAGTAAAGATGAAGCAGGCTTACAACAAGAAATACCATGCCCAAGTGTATGTGTGTATGTATAACATATACATAATACATCATATGTTTGGCATATTTATATATATCCCACATAGGTTTGTGTACACACATAATTATACCTCTGGAACATAAGCCCTGGAGGGCAGAGGCCTTCTCTCTCTTGCTCCCCTCTATTCTCAGTGCCTAGAACGGTGCCTGGCACACAGCAGCTCCTCAGCGATCAGCAGAGTGAATGAACGCTGAATGGACTCCCTCACATATTAAGGCGATTCATCTGCACAATGACTCTGGGAGGAAGGTGTTATCAGCACCCCCAGTTTATACAGGAAGGAAATGAGGCACAAGGAAACTAAGTCATTTGCTCAAGGTCACAGAGCCAGTAAGATTTGAGCCTAGGTTTGTCCACCTCCAAGACTGGAGCCCTTTGCCTTCATATACAATGGCTAGCCAGGGGACGCGGTGGGGGTACCTGACCCCTGGCCCTGCAACACACAGACACCAAGGACTGCAGCATCCAGGACCTGCACACACTCCCTGCTGGCACCCTGCATCCCCACCTGGGTTCTGGGGTTGGCAGGTGGAGGTAGGCCTGGGGGTGGAGACCAAGTGGCCTGAAAGCATTGTTTCTCCATCATGAACACTAGTTGGGTATGGACTTCATCGCTTTAAAAATAAGTATTGCCTCGTTTGTTCCTTTCGGCCTCAGAGTGGAAGATTCACTGGATGATTTAAGACCTCCTTGCAAAAGACAGGGAGCCTCGCAGGCTGCTCAGAGATAGGCCCAATGAGCGTGATTTTAGCGGAGTCGAGTTGAACCAGGCTGAGAGCATGTACTGGCTTGAAGGAAAAACACAGAAATTTGGTGTCTGTGCTCTCATCTCAAATTCCTTCCATGTATGGGAAGGAAAAGCTCCATCGCCAGAAAGCACAGAACTGTGGAGGCCCAATGCATGCTGGGAGATATCTCGGGGGCCACTTGGGAATTTAAATCAGTTAAGTTTGCCTCTGCCATGGCTGAGATGGGGATGCAGCTGATATGACCTGTTATTTTGTAATCCAGTGCTTACCCTCAAGGACACTGTCTTATTTACAGCTTGTGGTAGGCTGACCCCTCCTCCCACCCCAAATATGATTTTCTCATTTGTTATCCACTGAAGTTATTTAACTAGATGGACTTTGGGGAGCTGGTATTTTTCTTGCATAGCCAGTTAACAGTGACACCTGGTGGTAACATACAGCAAGGTTGTACCCTGCCCATACCCCCACCCTCCCCTAAGTTGCAAGATTTATGTCCCTCCTCACAAGGCACATTCGCTAGACAAAAGCATTAAACTGGAATGGCATCTCTGTTCTAAGCATTTACAGCCTCGGTTATATCAACCACCCCCTGATCAATTTCCATTTCTAGAGTTTACAGCCTGGACGTAAAAGCCTGCCACAAAGGCTATATTTAATATGAGAAATTAAAAAAGCAAACACAGCCTTGGTCATTCTTTGGAGCCAGGAAAAGCAAACAGGAGGAAGGAAAAACCCAACTGTATAGACACAAACAGGAACTTTCGTGGGGCTGCTGAATTTGCCTCCATTCCACCTTGAGGGAGTCTGCCCCTCCGAGGTCTCAAGGCCCCCCTGCCAGACCCACAGACACGGCTGCTCACCCACCAGCCCTCACAGGTTTCCTCACCAGCTCTGTCAGACAGGGGGCCATCTGCCCAGTGTTGGAAACTCCCCACCTCTGAGAGAGCTGGGGCATCTCTGGACAGCTCTGGCTTTACTGGTTCTTCCGAGTACTGAGCTGAGGCTCGAGTGACTGTAACCCTCTGGCTACAGGGCACCCCCTTGGGTCCTGGCAACGAACACAATACCCCTCTCTTCCCCCAGGAGTGGGTGGGGGTGTCACTGACTGCTGGGGGGACACTGAGGAGCAGGAGCGGAAGCAGGGGGCTGGTGAGGAGGCTTCCGCAGTTGTTCAGGTAAGAGATGAGAGGAGCCTGGCCTGGTGGCTTGGAGGTAAAGAGAAGCAGACAGTTTGAAGGGAGATTTTGCAGGTTAGGTAGACAGGCTTCACTTCTGGACTGGATGTGGGTGTGAAGAACAGAGGAGAATTAAAGACAAATAACTGGATGGGTGGGAGGCCATCTGCTCTTTCAGGGACCTCTTCATCAGCCCGTGGGCATGACTGTTTCAGGACTAATCGGCCCACCCATCCCCCTCTCTCCACTCAGTAACGAGGCTTACAGGGAGCCCAGGTTTCCCATTGTCTCAGGCTTCTTCTCCCATTTAGAAAGCTGATTAATTTCTGAATCAAGATGCCAAATCAGCTCCTGATCAAGGACAACACTGACTTTTCCCCCCAACTTCAAAGTAAGTTTGCAGACGATGTGTTTGTGAAGCAATCAACCTTGCACTTCCTCCCCTGCCAGCCCGTCAAGAGGGAGGTCATCTGACTCCACACGGAACGGAATGCGGTGGAGCAAACAAAGGCGCTGCAGTCTAGTGGTCTGGCCGCATTCTCCTCCTCCAGAGGCACCCTGAATGCAACTCAAGATTCAGCAGGGTCCAATTCCGGGTTTAATTGCTTTCAGCGGCAAAAAAGAAAATTAGAAATGAAAAGATAATGAATTGTGAATACTAGCTTGTTTGATGGGTCTAAACTTGAAGGACCGGTATAGGGTGGGTGTAGAAAAAGGAGTGGACAGGAAACGTGAAAATCAGATCTTTGTGACTCTTGGTTGTAACAGACACACAAAAGAATTTACTTCAAGATGAATTCATTATGTTCTTGAGTTGTACTTTAAGTATTAGCACAATTAGCTTCAGGGACACTGCCTGGGGAAGGACTATTTTCACCCTAAGTTGGTTCTTTAAGGAATAAGAAGATCTGGGGATAAGAAGCTAGTTGGGATGCGCCCCTGTGCTCAAGAAACCATGACTGATTCTGGGCCTAGGGGATGTGACGGGAAAGGGACAGAAAGAAAAAAAGGAACCGGGGAAATCACAAGCAAAGAATTGCAAAGGACAATAAATCGATTCAAAAAGATATTTCCATCATTCCCAGAGAATGCAAGGTTTATAAGGGAGCAAGTCAGCTTTCCTCATTTCACAGTCAGAGTAGACTTTCAGTCCTCCAGGAAAGAGATGACTCCCACCCCACCAAGGAAGATCAGGGACACGTTTCCAGAAGCCTAAGAAGTAGGAGGGACTGTTTCTCTGCTCTGGGATGTGCGGCTGACAGGCCGAGAGCAGCACACAATGCCAGGTCACACAGGCCAGCTTGTGCTCCCACAGCCGACTCCAGGGGCTGGTAGTTCCAGGGTGCAGGCTGCTCCCAGCTGGGAGGAGAGCTGGGGAAAGGGGGCCAGAGTGCCTTTTGGGTCTCATGTCTGGGAAATGCTGCTGTGCTCAGAGTTCTAGCTTTTTAGAAAAATCTTGTAGGACTCAAGGAACCAGACATAGCTTCTTCCATTAGAGGTGTTACAGCTATTCTTGAATTAGCAAAACTCTTGGAAATTAGAATTACATAATTTCAGAGTCAGATAAGGACCTTTAAGTCATTAGTCCAGTGGTTCTTAACGTTTCTTGGTCCATAGACCCCGATTATAATCAGGTGAATGGTGCAGACTCTGTCTAGAAAAAGGCACGTATGTGTCTGCTTGCACACACCCAATTGTGCATACAATTTGCGAGGGTTCTGAGCACCCGAGGCCCATTAAGATGCCACGTGGAGTCAAGGTATGCCAGCTCAGTAACCCGATGCTTTCACTTTGTAGATGAGAGCTGACGCCCAGAGAGGTGCCAGGGTCACCTGGTCACCAGACAAGTAGGGCCTAGAAGCAGATTGTCCTCTGACCAGGAGAGTGCTTTGTCCCCTCCAGCACACTGTCTTTCTGCTTTTTTGCCCCTTTGGAACTGTTGCTGACATTGCAGCAGAGGAAAAGGTTACTTGCAAAGAGAAATGCGTCTAGTAAAAATACCATCTCTAGAGTTGGCACAGTTAAAGAAATCATCTTAACCTGGCAAGAAGAGAGAGAAGAGAAAAGAGCAGAGATGCCCCAACTCTGCTCACCATTAGCAAATCTTCTATAATTTAGAACAAACGTAGAGACGCGGGTGATCAAGCAGACCTACCTCCTGGCAGCCTCTTGTAATTTCACGGGCTGTTTGGCGCTGAGGTAAATCAAGCAGGCATCCGCCACTTTATTCAGGTCACCCTCACCTGCAGGGAGGAAAAACAAAACAAGCATTGGCCCTCAAACTTCATTTGGGACGAGCAGTAACCAACTGCTATCTGATGAAACTGGAACAGCTAGGCAAGATGCTGTGGGCTCTTTACTCCATCCTGCAAGTCAAAAAACACATCAAGGTAAAAGGACAAATAGGGCCTAAGTAAGACTGAAGGATGCACACATGAAGGGAGACGAGGGGAGCACGAGCAAGCAGAGAGTGCAATAGTGAGGCTGAGACAGAATGCACAGTGTGTGTCCAGGTGAGACTGGCTGGTACCTACCTAGGTCCAGTTTCTCGCAGAGGGGGCCCAGGCCCTGCAAGACGGCCAGCTGCAACTTGAAGGCCAGCGTGTGGGAGTAAACCGGTCCAGCCCTGGCACTGACGGGAGCCTGGGTGACCAAGGAGCCAGCCAGCTTTGGCAGGACATCTTTGCAGAACCGGCTCCTTAGAAAATCGCCACACTTGCCTCCCAGGGTACGCAAAACCTGCAGAAACAGCCCCCAACCTGGTGACTGAACATCGCCAAGGCAGCAAGAGAGCTCAAGAGTGTTTGGTAATTCAAATTCATCTAGGTCTCTGCTTGAAAAAAAAAATAGAATTACTGCTGTTAATTCCTTGCCTGTGGTTTGTGATTCTGACGGTTATGAATTCGGAGGTCTCTGCTCCCAAGGCATGGCTGCTTCTATCCATAAATACAGATTACATGGAGAATAATTCAAACGAATCTTGAGTTGGATGAATAATATGATTAATACCTTGATTTTCCTCCCTTTTTCGTTTAAAAAAAAAAAAAAGAAGAGCTTAAAGCAGTTAAACTTAGATCATCTCTTGAATCTTCCTAACATCCCCTAAGAAAAGACTTGTGTGTTTAACTCTAGCTAGCTGAGCAAGCACAAACACTGAGGCCCCGCTGCTGTCATATGCAGGCACGGCGAGGACAGTGGGGGCTGAGGTCCCTTGGCTACGACAGGGCAGGGTCCTCAGTGGTCAGAGCGGAGTCGGAATTCCTTCTGTTCCACTGCACAATCTCTTGTGTACATCACCCTCATTCCATCTTTCACAACAAGTGGTTTCTTTGCATGTCTCGTTTTAAACTTTCTCTAGCAGAACATATTGAAATGTTTTGCCCCGCTGCACAAGACTGAGTATACAGGATAATAGGAATGTCTTTAAAAATTGGTAAGCAAGGCATAACCAACACAGAGTGTTTGCCGACTCTGCAGAGAGTAAGGTGCCTATTTCAGGTCCCTCAGCTGGACTGCACAGGCGTTACAGACCTCAGGCGTCATCAGTGTTTCTGGGAGTGGAAAAGTGGCCTCAGTTACAGCACACACATCTTTATAGTTTTTCATTTTTCTATGCTTGCTATCATTTCAGATAACCTATTAATTTTCATAAAGGAAAACAGCACATCTAAATAAGATTTAGCAAGACCTCCCTCCCTTTCCCCTTCCCCCAGCCTCCCTCCTTCCCTCCCCTACTCGCCACCACACACACACAAGCATGTGTCATTTTGTGTATTTTGCTTTGGAAAAAAATACTAACAATTTTGTGTTTTAAATGTAAGCTTGCATTCTGGTCCTGTGTATGCTGAAGAATCTTACAGAAGACCAAAGTACTTTGCAAGTACATTAGTTGCATTCTTGGCTTCATTTTATATCACTACACATCTTTTTTCTTTGCTTCATCTTGCTCACCCACTTCTAATTTATGTTAGCTTGCCACGGTAAATGTATCTCCGCAGGTTGCCTTAAGTGCTTTTTAGAACAAGGGAGAATATAAATAAATAAGCTAAAATGTGTGTGCTAATATAAGCCAAACTAAGTCAAGGAGAATAATACCTTACATACATAAGGCTTTTACCTTTTCAAAGCATTTCACCAAATGGTCCCATTTCATCCTTGACAATAACACTGTGAGAAAGGTGGAACAGGTGTTCCTAAGCCCTACCTGAAAATGAGTGGTCACGGGCTTTGCCCAAAGTCACCTGACTGGGCAGAGGATACCCAGTGCTAGAACCTCGGCCCCTTCACCTTGACTCTTGTGCGGTGCAAAGAACATGGGCATGAACTCACAGATCTGGGTTCTATACTTACTAGCTGTGTGATCTTGAGAAAATTCCCTACCTTCTCCGAGCTTGTTTCGTCCTCTGTCAAAAATGGGGATAATAGTATCTACCTTGTAGGTTTTCGTAAGGAGATGAGCTCACATGTGAGGAAGTGCCAAACACACTGCCTGGCACATAGTGGGTGCTCAATAAATACTGGTGGCCCTTTTCATCTACCAGTTGACTCTGCTTCAAATTCAAGAGGAATCTTTTACGTTCTTCTTTGTGCTTTTCTTATTTTTCTATACTTTCTTCAAGGTATACATTGCAATCAGATAAAAAGAGAACCAATCCCAAAAGATAGTGGAGAGCTCTGTGCTTACTACCCTCCTTGCCCACGACTGACAGTGGCGGGGCATCAGTGCAGTACCTTGAAGGCTCTGAGCACCGCCAGGGGGTCATCGTTTGTGAGTCGGTGCACAAGCGAGGGCCAGGCTCGATGAGCCAAGGGAAGGAGCTGGTTCTTGTGGGACTGTAGAACTACCACACACAGATCCAGCACATCCAAGACCTGAAAAAAAAGAAGACATGATTTCAGCAGATGGTTAAGGCTTGAAACCAGATACCTGGGATTAAGTCACATTTTAAAAGAATAAAATTTAGAAACTCATTAACTGAATTAATATTTACTGACTACATGCCAAGTACTTGCTAGGTACTGGGGGGGACACACAGGAACAAAATGCATGTTTCCTTGCCTTCATGGGGCTTATGATCAACTGGAGAAAGACCTTAAGTAGCTAATACTCAGATAAAGGGATGATTACCAATTACGACAAGTGCTAGGAAGGAAAGTCAAGGGTGAAATGCAAAGAAACTAAAGGGAGGGATCTAAAGCATATAGACTGTTGGGAGAGCTTCTCTGAGGAAGTAACTTCTAAAAGGAGACATAAAGGACAAGTAGGAGCTAGCTATGTAGAGAGCGTTCCTAGAACTGGTAACAGTAATGAGGAAGACCCAGAGGTGGGAGAGCTTGCAGTGCTTGGTTAACGATAGCAGGGCAGTGTCGAGCGTGACAGAGGAGGGGTAAGATGGCGCTGGACCACAAAGGTGTCATGTTAAGAATTTTTTATTTTGTACTAAGTGCAGTGGGGAACCATCAAAACATTTTAAGCAGGAAAGCGACGTGATACAATCCATGTTTTAAAAGGTCATCTAGCTGCTGAGGGGAGAAGAGACTTGAAACAGGAAAGACAAGTGAGGGGCCCTTTAGGAAGCCATGGCACACGTCCACATGAGAGGAGGAAAATGATGTGGCCACATGATGGTGGCAGAGGCAGAGAAGTGAAAGGCTTTGAGATCTGTTTTGGAGATGAAATGGCTTCAACTGCTGAAGGACTTGATACTGGGGAGATGAAGAGAGGTATCAAAAAGAGCTGCTTGGGTTTAGGCTTAGCCACTGAACAGATGCAGGTGCTGTTTAACGAGACAGGAACAATGCAGGAGGAGTAAATTGAGAGGCTGGATGAGATCAAGTTCTGCTACTTCCTAACAGAGAGCTTCAATACGCAGCTGAGATACAGGTCAATCTTAGAGGACAGGTTTGGGGTAGCCTAGACATAAAGTGGATTTTCTACTTTCCCTGAGAATGTTTCCTAATCTCTCATATCTCAAAGCTCACTGAAAACTGACAGCCTGCTTCAGTGTCACAGGCAGTGGTCACCACAGTGACCTGCACGGACAGGCCCGCCTTCACAGAGCAGGTGAGGGTGCACGTCTGAGTCGGAAAGACTGAGTGAAGTCTGCCAACACTGAGCAGTAAACCCTTACTGGATGCCTAGTATGTGCTGGTCACACTGAGACTGGAACAGAAACAAAGAACGCAAGAGGCCCTGCCCTGGAGGAGTGAAGACTTAGGCAGGGGAGTAAGAGGAAGCTCAGTATAAGGCAGAGAGCAGAGCAGTATCGTGGAAATGGCTTTGGTATCACCGATTGGCTTTGAATTTGAGTTCTGTCATGAACTGGGCAAGTTACATCTTGCTTCACTGATTCAAAGATGCACATTTTCCCCCACTGCCTGGAACGTTCTTCTCTCTGCCTTTGCCCCTTTGCATGGCTGGCTCCTTCTCAGCCTTTAAGTCTTGGCTTAAATGTTCCCACCTCAGAGAGCCTTCCTTGACCACCTGGTCTAAATGAGAACATAAGCTCTGTCTTATTCTACAGGATTTGGTACAAAGTAGGTTCCCAACACATGGGTGAACTACTATTTTCTATCGTAGGGCCTGCTTATTACCTCCAGAGCATTTCCTCCCCGTGTGTGTGTGTGCGTCGCCTCTTTCACCACAAGAGACAGGAGGTTCCCTGAAGACAGGGATCATGTCTGCTTCATTTCCTTCTAGACACCCTCTCCCTGACCTGCAGCAGTCCTCCATAAGCATTTGGTGAATGAATGAATGAATGTATATGCCATACCTGATGCTAATTGTTTCATATTTATAATCAACAACCCAGTGAGGGAGGTACCACCATCTCCACTTTACAGATGAAGAAGCTGAGGCTTAAAAAGCTGAATTAACTTACTCAAGGTCACAGGGGTAGAGCCAGGATTTGAACCCAGATATGTAGGTCTGACTCCAGTATTGATGTTCTCAATCACCATGGCGTGTATTCAGCTGCTACAAAGCCTCCGTAAAAGGAAGACACTGGGCTCGTGTATCAACCAGACACCCACAGTAAAGCCTTGCATGTAGTGGGCACTCAGAAAGTGCTTGCTAAATGGAACAGAGATGACTGCTAGGAAGTATCTCTGTGAAAACTCATCAAACTCCACGAAACATAGACCCTGAGATTTGAGATAAGCTGTGGATCAGAGTTTCCTAGCCCACCACCCCCGAGCAGGGCAATGAGCTCTCATCACTAACAGTAATCCACTGAGGCAGTTGTGTCTCTCACTCCTGCTTGGGGGTGGGGAAGACTGGGCCAGGGTGCGTTGTTTTCCTTTGGGTATAAGATCTCCCAGGTGATTCTAAACTACTGTATAGTTTAAGTCCTTGCTGATAGGGATGCTGCTTGGAAATCTGCCAGCAAACAAAGATGTAAGATCAAGAAAAGTGTTGGTGTTTTTCCTAGTATGAAAATGGAAACAGAAACAGAGATAAGGGCTAGCATCAGGCTTGGAAGAATGACCACTTTAAAGTACTAAAACCTACATCCCATGGTAAGTCGGCTCAGAAAATGATATCCTTTCCAAAGCGTACGACTTTCTTTCCCTTGGAGATTCAATGAATCTCCAAAACTTGGTTGTTTTTAATTCCACAAAGGGGACTCAGCTCCCTTTTTGCATCTGAGCTGATACAGAAGGATGTAAGACTGTCATCCCACAGATGAATGCCTCCTCTCGGCCCCCACACATGGGCCAGGAGATAAGGGCAGCTACTTGCTCATCCATGGAGTCACTGTCAACCAGGCCAAACCTTAGTCCTGCTGCTCTGTCGATGCAGGGAAAGGGCCACACACTGACCTTCAAGCGGATTTTCAGATTTTTATCTGACAACAAGTGGATGCAGCGCTCCATCACGTCCACGGCTATTTGGATCTGCACTGGCAGCGGTGGCTGCACATCGGGACCACTGTCATTCTCGTCCAATTTGGGAGGGTCTGACTGCTCCTCTGGAAAAAGAGCATAACTGGGGACAGTGTTTCATGAGAGATGCCCCATTTCAACTTGATCTCCCACCTTAGACTCAGAAACAGGACGTATGAGGGAGAATGTCTAGGAACTGATCCTAAGGAAGCCACGTGAAATTTGGGTCAAGTTATGAGTCAAGATATTCACCACTGCATTAATTGTAACAGCTAAAACCTAGGGGAAAAACCCTCTGCGTCCACTCAGGGGGAACAGATCTATAAACCAGGGTACGTCCATACAGTGGCATGTTAGGAGGGCCCTAAAATTTGTGTTTACCAGGGGCTTTAATGACAAGGGGAAACGTTTATGAAATAATATTGTGTTAAAAAGAGAAAAGCAGGATACAAAATTGCATACACAGTGTGAGCACTATTATATAAATTTTTGCATGGAAGGAAGTACAACAAAATATGAACAGAGATGGGGTCATGAGATAATACATGGATTCCTTTCCTACACTTTTGGTCTCTTCTAAATTTCCATTAACAAATACTCAACACAAGAGGGAGGGTTCTAATTTGGAGCCCTGAGGCTGGGCAGTTCCCTAGCTGGCCTTTGCTCTGTCCTTTACCCTCCTTCCTTTCCTCTTGGTTCATCCTTTGAAGAGGGGGCTACATGTCTGTCATATCCACGAGCCTGTAAGGTCTTTTGGTGGCCAAGATCAAGCCTTACTTATCTTTGTATGAGAGAGAATACCAGGGCAGCTTGGTGTAATACACAGGGATGGGGTTGGGTCAGAGGAGGTCAGTTCAAGTCTTGCCTCCACAATCTATTAGCAACTCGTCTTATCCCATGTTACCTCATCAGAAAAACAGGGATAAAGCATGTATACCTCGTTTGCTTGTTGAGTTAAATGAGATGCATGTCACCAGCTATTATCATTCTTTCACTGCCTAGAGTGCTGCGTTGCATGAGACAGGTGTAAATTTGTATATTAAAACAACAAGAAAAAGAGAGTTGCATGAACCCAGGACAAAATCCCTACCCTGAAAAATTTTCGTGGATCTACATATAGCCTCCGGCCCCCCACCCATCCCCATTACCAGCTGTGCTCACTTCCACTGAGCTAAGCATTGCTTCCTTAACTTTTTCCCATTTTAGTTTTCTCTGCTGGAACAACAGAATCTTATAATAGAGGCCACACCTGTCTCTAACAGATGCTAAAAAGATAAATGAAAATGCATTTGTACAATGCTTGGATTTCTTAGAGAAAGGGACCTCAGATACACAAGGTGCTTTTATTGTGGTTAAAACAAAAAATGCATGTCAAATCAACATCAAGCCAAACATTCTTTATAATGCCAAGTGTGTGGTTGTACCTGATGAATGATAATTACAGGAATGATAAGGCTGTGCTTTCTTCCCAGAGGAGGATTTGTTGTTTAAAATTCACCTACTGCAGAATGTTATTAGAGGAATGTGGATTTTTGTGTTATTGGGGGAGAGGTTTGATTCATTCAGTCTGTTCCTAGGGAACATCAACTAGAACCAGAAGATCCTAATCGTGAAAGAATGGATTCACTGGCAATGCCAGAATTTCAAACAAGAATGGAAAATCCGGATTATGAGGGATCAAGATGCCTCCCCTTCTTCAGGGTTTCCAGGTTTGGGTGAGGGGTGCAGTTCAGGAAAGGACTGGGTTGGCTCAAGAAACAAAGCTGAGAAGAAAAAGCCTGATAGATTTCTGATCAGAAACCTCTGTCTTTGGGGAGAGCAATGTCTCAACTCTGCATAAATCATTATTTGGGCTCTGTGATGCTTCCTGGTTATTTAGAGGGAATTTGTTATAGTTAGCTACACTGAGCTACTATTTCCTGTTATCCTGGAAGTATTGGCTTCAGTTCACCAGAGTCTCAGAGTAGAAATTGCCAAAAAAAAAGAAAAAAGAAATCTGCTCGATTCCAACCTAACAAACTAATTTGGGACTCAGTTCGATTTAGGATAGTTCTGAGACCACCAAGCTCATTATGACTTGGCATTTTATATTTGCAGAGGAGATACTAATAATTTATTAATCCTTCCGTGACCTGAAGCTCCAGATTGAGCTTGTGAATAAAACAACAGGCCAGAGCTTCAACTAGCCTGAACTCCTTCCTCTTTTATCATATACATTGGTAAGAAAAACATTGAAATCTCCTCCCACCAATAAATAAATGGACAAAGCATATGAATAGACAAGGAGCATAAGAAAAAAATTATTAGGAAAGAAGCATATAGGAAGATGTTTAACCTTGCCAGTAATCAAAGAAATGCAAAGTAAAATAACAAGAACTATTTTAAGGTAGCAAGAAATAAAATTGGTAATAGCCAGTGTTGGCAAGGTTGTGGTGAAACCAGTATTAATCCTGTACTTCTGAAGGGAAGGTGTAAATTGATACAACCTTTCTGGAAAGCAATTTGGCAAGCATAAAATAATGTTCATATCCTTGACCCAGAAATCCCACTTCTGGGATTTATTAAGAAATATGCAAAAAGAAGGAAAAGGTCACGTGCACAGAATCATCCACTGCAGCACTGTTTATTAGAGTGAAAAGCTAGAAGCAATCTAAACTTCCCACAGGGGAACGGATACTTACTAGCAGCTATTAAAACATTAATTATGAAAACTCTACAGCAACATGGAGAGCTCCTTATTCTATACTAAATACAAAAAGGATATAATGCATTTAAACAGTGGCTGCAACCATATAAAAATAGATTTGCAAGAAAAAAGAAAGGAAAAAGATTACACACAAAGTGAGAAACCTATGTTAGCATGGTGGGGTTATGAGTGACTTATTTCCAAACTTTCCGTAACGATGTTTCATCATTTTTACAATAATCTGCTTCAAAAAGAAAACACTAGCTAAGCCAAAATAAATATCAGTTACCTTCTTCATTGTCAACATCTGAGACATTTCCATCTGCTACATCCTTTTCCTTGAGGTAGTTCAGCAAAAACTGCTCAATGTCTTCGGCTGTGGTGGTATTCTCAAGTCCTTTCTCAAGATGTGCTGGTCTTCGGCTCAAATGACTTCCCTCCTCCCCTATACTTTGCTCTTGGAGTTGCCCAAGATCACTTGTGTCTGGGAACCACTGGGCTGTAAATAAAGTGTTACAATGATCACCTTGGTCACTGACAATAGGCGTTATACTTTATAAGTCGAATAAGCTCTTTGCCATGGCCTGCATGGCCCTCCCATGATCCAATCCCTACCTGTCTTCTAACCACTCCCATTTGCCCATTAACTGACCATCTTCCAGTTCCTCCAATGCACCAGGTGTTTTCCTGCCTTAGAACTTTTGCATATGCTATTCTTGCTGTCTGGAATACTTCCCCCCCATGTCACATCTGGCTAATTCCAACTCACTTCTCATGTCACAATACAAATATAACTTGCCTAGTAAAGCCATCCCTTCACTCCCCAATCTAACTTAGGTCCCTTATATGCTGTCTTATATAGCACCGTGTTCTTTCCTATCAACTCATCACGATTTGTAATTATATCATTTTGTGTGTACTGCTTAGTGTTTGAATCTCCCATTAGACTCTATGCCTCATTGATCACCACTGGAAAGCCAATATGCCCAGCACAGAGTGGGTGCTAAAAATATACGCTGAATGAATAAATATGCTAGACTGGAGAACACATACAAGTGACAAAATTCTCAGTACAGGATACACTATTCATTAGGGAAGACAGACTCCACAAAGCCTTGAGAATGGAGTCTCACATATGTATTTCTGATATAAAATGCTTCAGAAGGCTGGCATTTTCTCCCCAAAGCTATCCTTCTTCAGTGATGCTCCAATACGTCTGATGTGTCACCAAAGAATAAGCCTTAAACATCACTGAACAAGTGGTTTTCAAATTGTACGCTGAGGAGCCCTGGGGCTCTGCAGAAATGTCTCAGGGTCACAACAGGGGAGGCACCAAGAGACAGCAGGCTAAAGGGGGTGGGTCCAGGGTTTCTATCCCTTCTTTAACCAGAGCACCTCTAATTTCAACTATTTTTATATATTGGGGTTCCCCTAGGGCTTCATTTCAAAACAGGCTCTTAATACTTAAAGAACAAAACAACAAGAAAACCCCACAGCCTGAATTTTCGCTCTCCTTTTGCAGAGAGCCGGGAAAAAGTCTGATAACCATTAGCACCTGCTAATCTCCTGTCTATCAAGGAGCATCCGAACAGAACCAGAGCAACAGCAGATGGGAGATGCTAGGCAACTGGGAGTAGCAGAGAGCAAATGCTGGAGATGAGAGCCTTCAATCCAGTATCTGGAGGTTCCTATACGTAGGGACAGATCATGCCATTTCTTAATGTCCCATCCCCAAACATAAGTCAGGCCCTCAGTGTACTCTAAGGGACTGCATTCCCAACGAGTTAAAGTCAGTACCCAGCCATTTACACTGCCGAAAATAACATGCTGCCAAGATGATTTTCTAGATTTAAGGCTAGTGCCAGACATTAAAAAATCTTTGCTCACAAATGGCTTTTAAACATATGAAAAGAAGCTCAACCTCACTCTTAATGCAAATTAAACTACAATAAGGTGCTTTTTTCTCCCATTGGATTAGCAAAGATCAAAAAGCTTGGTAATGTACAGTGTGAGTGAGGGTGTGGCAAAACTGGTACTCTCTTACATGGCTGATGGGAGTTTAAAGTGCTGCAGCGTCTGGAAAGCAATGTGATACTCTCTATCAAAAATTTAAATGTAGGACCCTCTACACCAGCATTTGTCTTAGGAATTACCCTATTGCTATACTTAGACATGTTCAAAATGACCTACAAAGATGTTCATTGCAGCATTTTTTGTGGCGGCAAAAGATTGGAAACAACCAAAATGTCCACCAAGAAAGGACTGCTTAAATAAATTATGGTGCAGCCACACAATAGGAAAGTACGCAGCCATCACAACAATGTGGCAGCCCTACACGTATGGATATGGCACAATCTCCAAGTGCTGAGGTACGTGGCACGGACGCTTTCTTATTTTCAAAGCTACCCTGGTTTTTGCTGTTAGAATAATCAGCCAATTGGTAGTTGGTGCTGAGCAGTAACTAAACTGCTGGTTCTTGCTCTCAGTGTGGTACCTAAGGCTTTTTAGTCAATGCACGGGAAACACTGTGTTGATGGTAACTCCATTTCCTAAAACATGTACTGGGTTCTTTTAAGACCTTTTGGAAGTTCTCTGAGACCACACTTCTACTCCCATCTTAAAAGAGCGGCCATCAGTTAGACAATTTGATGACAAACAGAAATGCCAGCATACAGTGCTACTTTGACTCGTGTGACTCATCAACTCCACCTTAGTACCATGCAAAATGCAAGTATATTCTGGGTTATTTCAAAACTTTCAGAAAACTAGCCCCAATTTTGCTTCTTTTCCTAGGATGCTCTCAAGTCAATCTTAACCATCCTCATTTTCCTCTCTGCAATGGAGACCCCTCCTCCTCCACTTCAATTTAAAAAAAAGTGCTACACAGGATTTCTCCTTCAGAGATGACTGAAGACATCAGCAATCTGAGGCAATTCAATTTTCAAGGCCCAAATTGAGATGGCTCCTGAGAGGATATATTTAATAGGCCTTTTCTTAACATATTTTTAAAATCTCAAATTGACACGTAGTATAGTTCCCCAAAGCGCTAAACGTGGAAGTCTGGGGAACATCTGGACCATGGAAGCCAGTCACAGTCTACAATGTACACGCAGTTAGCCAGTCTTAGCGGAGTCTCCAGGAGGGCAGGGACCAGGTTTTTCTTGGTTACTGCTGACGCCCCAGTGACCAGTCCAGTACAGGCTTCCGAGTGGCTGCAAAATTAAGTCCAAACTCCTTCCCTTGGCCTACGAGGCGGGGCAGGATTTGTCCTTGCCCACCTTTCTACTTTCATCTTGTACCACTCTCTCCACAACGACCTCTCTGTCCTTCTCCAAAGACCCCAAGCCTTTCTTCCCTCCAGGCCTTTGCACCTGCTGTTCCCTTTGCCCGAGTGTTCTTAGAAATCATAAAAAGGATGTGACAGCTCCAAATGTACTGATGGGCCGTCCTCAGCCTTCAGGTCTCAGCTCTAGTGTGCTCAGAGAGGCCCTCCCTGATCACTCTACTTAAAGTGGCCTGTCCTGGTCATTCTCTTGCCTCAAGTTGTCTATTTTCTTCACAGAGCTTATTAGAATCTGAAATGATTTACTTGTTTATCATCTCTCTCTTGCAGCAGGAAAGCTCCACGAGTTTACTCGTCTTGTTCACTGCTGCATCCTGATTAATGGCACAGTGTCTGACACATGGAGGCACTCTTTACCGAATGAATGAATAAAAGAACATTTACGCTGCACGTGAATGTTCGTGAATGAATGAACGAATGAACACTGGAAATGGTCTCAGCTACAGGACAGAAATGCTATCAACTGGCCCCTGTTCCAGTCACCTCCTGCAAGAAACTTTCTTACATGGTCTTGGCTTTCCCAGCTGACAAAATGAGATCAGCGACCTTTCTACCTCCTTTGGAGGCTATTAGCAGTACTGAAATAAATACTGGAGATGTGCTCTTTGATTAAAGGGACACAGGTATATAGCTCATTATGTTTTTCATTCAAAGATTGACCATCCAGTTGAGGAATTCCTTTTCTTATAGTCCAAAACTTTGCCATTTTAATGGTGGCTAACACCTCCAACAGACACCCAACAGGATCAAAGGGAAGGAAAGAAACTCAAACCATCTCATACAATCAAAAGGTTAAAAGAAAGTTTCTAGACCTGCTCTGTCCAACAAGGCAGTCACTAGCTACCTGTGGCTATATTAAAGTAAAATGAAAAATTCAGTTCCTCAGTTGCACTAGCCACATGTAGCTAGTGGCTAGTGTATTAGAACAGATATAGAACACTCTGTCATCACAGAAAGTTCTATTGGACAGTACCGTTCTAGATCATCTGTGACTGAATAATTCATGTTATTCCTGTTCTCCATTAGCATAGATATTGCTAACTCTAAGTATTGTCAGACGCAGTTTGGTATATTGAAAAGAACAAAATTGTCATAAATCCTGACTTTACTCCTTATTAATTGTGTGACCCTGGCTAAGTAGGATCTCACTGAGCCTCAGTTCTTATCTGTAAAATAATGTTTACATTTAGTCTGTAGGGTTTATGTCCCTAGCACAGAGCAGGAGCTCAACAGACGGTAGAGATTATTAAAAGCATAAAAAAAAGCAATGGTAGCAAACTCTACCATAACATGTGGGACTGGATAGACAACTATTCAAATAATGTCCTCCATAGCTTAACCACAAAGAAAAAAAATAAGGTTAGGCAAACAAGGATACTAGCGCTTCCCCTAAATCAGCATTAAAAAGGGTTTTCAGGGGGCTGGCCCAGTGGCGTAGTGGTTAAGTTTGCACATTCTGCTTCTGGCGGCCCAGGGTTCGCAGGTTTGGATCCCGGGTGCAGACCTACACACCACTTACCAAACCACACTGTGGCAGGCATCCCACATAAAGCAGAGGAAGATGGGCATGGATGTTAGCCCAGGGCCAATCTTCCTCAGCAAAAAAGAGGATTGACAACAGGTGTTAGCTCAGGGCTAATCTTCCTAACACACACACAAAAGTTAATTAATTAAAAAAAAGGGTTTTCAATGTACCTAATGCTGCCAGTAGGGCATGCAGAACACTGATAAAGGAAGTAGCTCTCTTATCATAGAATTGGTCCAGAGTGGCCAAGACATCTTGAACCACATCTGCCACCAAAGGAAGCAGGCTAGCATCTGAATTCTGCAGCATGACTTCCAAGACCTTTGGGGTATGGGGGTGCAGAGACAGATGACGCAGATTTAAAGAGATCTCATTCACCAAATAGTCTGAATTTTGATTGATCAGGTGCTGCAGGGAGTCATAGCCACAAGCGTGGCAAATGTCCATCATGGTGCTGGTAGCAGCCTGACTAATGAGCAGGGTTTGGTCTCCAGCCTTCTCCAGTACTGGATAGAGGGCTGACATCAAGAGCAAACGAAAGTCTTTTCCTAGTGCATATGCAAAGTGGCCAATCCCTTCCAACTGGATGCATATTTGCCAGATGTTGCTGTTCATGGAGCAAATAGTGGGACTGGGCTTTGAGACGGCTGGAAAAGATGTAACTTGGCAGGTATGGGCACCAGATGTGATAGCCTGGAGGCCTGACTGCTTCACTGTTAGCTCCTCTCCCATTTCTTCAGCTTCGATACAAGTGACCAAATGCCAGTTGTCTTGGCTCGTGTATTCTTCAAGTATAGATGTCACAATCTCTCTCAGTTCCTCGGGGCTTGTTTCAATATGTTTTTCATGAAGATTCTCCACCTCCAGCCCAGCAGCCCCTGCAACCAGTTCATTAAGGATCATGGCGGCTTGCTTCCGGTAAACCACAGATTCGTGGTACAGTTCCATAAAGTGATCCACCAGCAAATAGAGGTTCCCATAAAAACCAAGAAGCTGACAAACCTGCAGCAAAAGCAGGAAAACTCTCTCGTCAGTGAAGAAGCGGAAATACCGCCTCTGGACTTGACTCCATGGCCGTGCAGCTGAAGTCTTTGGAGAAGCACTCAGATGATCAGAGTTCCAACGCCGCTCTTCAACAATTTTGATGTCAGCCACGTCTAATTCCAGAACTTGGATGAGCGCTTTGGAAAGGCGCTGGAGATGGGCCACAGAGTTGAGGACAAAGTTCACTTTTGGGCCCAAGAGTTTCAGATACCCGAGTAACAAGGAGAGAGTAGAGAATTTACCCTGATCGTCTTGGGAGTTCATTAGGCGGGGAAGAGATGTGGCAAGGGAATGTAGGTTTTCTGACAAGATGTCAGCAAAGGCCCTGTTGCCCACCACTACTCTCTGATCTGCAAAATGTCTCAGAACTTTACTGCACTGGGCTTGGACTTCAGGACTCTCATCATTTACCAGACCCACCAAAGCCTTCAGAAGGGGACCAGCCGATTCGACCAGTGACTGACTGCACTTCAAAAGAAGGGCCTCGACAAGTTCTATCAGTTCCAGCCTCACCTTCCAGTGCGGGTGAACTGAAACACACTCAATTATCTTTTTAATAAGGATAGTCAACTTGTCGCCAGTATTTTTTACCCAATTGGCTTCCCTGTGAACCATCAGCTCTGCTACTCTATGCTCCACTGCAGGCTTTGCTTGTACCTTTGAGATTCTTCTGAGCTGTTCGTCAGCCATAATGAAGCTCACTGTCTTGTAAAAGATCTGCAGGGAAGATACGACAATGCTGTGCCCTTGTTTAAAGTCTCCTGTGATAACCCTGGTCAGTGCAGTTGAGATTCCAGGTAAAAAAGAAGCAAACAAATCCCCCAGCTGCTTTTGCTCCAGCTCATCCAAGGATCTCGGATGGTCCTGACAATCACACTGAAAGAGTAGAACCTGTAAACATTTTAAGGCAGCAATTTTCATTTCCTTTGATTTCTCCTGTTCTGCTAGGCCTAACAGTAAAGATACAGCAAATCCTAAACGAGGCAGACTGGAGGGCTCATAAAAAGTCAGAATGATATCCCCATAAGCCGAGTGCATTAATGTGCTCAGGCCCCGGATCACAGCCAATTTCAACTCCTCTGACACAGCTGCGGGTTTCTGGGAGTTGGGCGAATACAGACAAGCAGAGAGTTCCGAAAAGAGTTCCTGAAGAAGTTCTTGTTCCTTCACACACGTTGAAGAGAGGACAAACGTGAGGCATTCCACCACACTCTGGATCAAGCGCTCTCTTTTGGGACCCGGGGTCTTCAGAGTAAATCGCAGAGGGAAGAGGATGTACTGTTGAAGTTCCTGAAGGGCAGAGTCACTCACGGCTTGTAACTGTGCCTGCAGACGCTCTACGTTCTCCACTGTCTGGGTCTTCGTGAGCTGGACACAGACTGGACGCAAGACGCCAAAGGCCTCCTCGGGAGTATCAAAAACTGCCATTGTGCAGTAGCTTTCCTCTCACTGAGGAAACATCCTGCAGGCTGGAGGAGGGAAATTTTTCAGTAAAGAAGCAATACAGTAAAGAAGCTCAAAGCAAACACAAAGTGAACTTGCATTCATTCATTCAACAGACACTTAGTGGGGGCCTATGTGCAGTCACTGCACAAGGCACTAGGGGAGCAATGGAACTGAAAAGAGATGTTCCTATTCTCAGGGAGCCTCTAGTTAGTGAGGGAAGATGTACAGTTACAACACAGTCTGTTAAGAAATAGGATAGGTCTATGCTTAGGTCCTAAGTGAGTGTGGAAGACCTATACGTCATAACCCTGGGAAAGCCAGGACGGGTTTCACAGGAAGATGCTTGAGCCAAGACTTGAGAGAGGAATGAATAGCAATCTGTGGGCTATTCTAAGGAGTTTGAATTTTAACCTGTGGTGTAACGGAGAGCTACTGAAGGTTTTGTCTTTTCAGACTTGAGGTATGTAACATACATAGAGCAAAATGCACTAGTCTCAATGTACAGCTCAGGGAATTTTTATGTATGTAGAGACCCACGTAACCACCACTCGAAACAAGATATAGAATATTTCCAGCACCCTGGAAGGCTCCCTCATGACCTTCTGCAATCAATTCCTATTTCCCCTGCCCAGAGGTAATCACTATTCTGACTTCTATCACTACAGATTAGTTTTGCCTGTTCTGGTCATGGAGAGGTTTTAAGCAGGGAGTGATATGATCAACTTGATGCAATGAAAAGATGCCCTGGCAGCGAGTAATAAGAGAAAAGAATCAGAGCTGGGTGAGACTGAAAGCAAAACAAATGAAAGGGAGTGGCCAGAGAAATGGGAAAACCAGGAGCGGATATCATCACAGAAACCAAGGAGAAGAGAGATTCAAGCAAGATGGAGAGATGGACGGCATGCAGGCAGGCAGTGAAAGGAGACAGGTTTGTAGGTAAGCAAAGGAGCTGAGCAACTTAATACAAAAGTCTCTTTTCTCTGTGAGAAGAAATTCAAAGTCATGAGCTGACAGTGAACAAGGAGGGAGGTAAACAGAGGGCTTGAGGAGAGAAATAAAAGTCTCAAATATTCCCTTTGGGGAAGCAGAGCATGCTGGGAAGATACAAAAGTGTGGCCCAAGGGTACTGGGGACTGAGCTGAAGCTGGAGACCATAAATGTGGACAACTGTAAAATGCAGGCGCTGGACAAAGCTTACAGATCATCTAGTCTGGTGGTCTCTCTCTCTCCCTCTCTTTTTGGCTCTACTTGCTGGGGGTTTCTGAACAGATGATGAAAAAAAAGTGTCTCTGCTGCCTCTCCCTGTCCCCAATCCAGTGAGCTCTCCTAAGCCCCAGTGACTAGAGGGCTGGCAGGCAAGTGGTGCCTGGTGGGTGTGGGTGAGACCTGCTCGCCCGGGGGGGGGGCGGGGTGCCGGACTCCCCCGGGTCAAGAGAGGGCTCCAGGGCAACAATCGGGCTCTAATAACCTGGAGAGAGTCTGGTCCACAGAGCTCCGGGACACCTGCAAGGAAGGGCAATGCTGGTCTCTGTGAGGCTTTCTGGGGGGATATCTCCTGGTCTCTGTGACCCCCAAGAAGCTAGGGAAGGGAAGAAGCTCAAATTTTCCCTGTTCCACGCTAGGAAAATGCCAGGTGTGGATGCCAGAGAGCTTGGCTGGGAACTAGTGACACCCCATGGACACCAGCTCAGACAGTGATATCCCAGAGGCTGCTGTGCCATCCCCTGCCTGAGGTACTGGTAGTTGGAACAACAGAAGGAAAGGAAAATCACCACTTATTGGGACCCAGCAGTCAGAGGCAGGAAAAGCAAATATAGTACCCCTTGAGGTGGTGAATCTCAGATTAACAGAACCACTAAAGGAGACAGACAAGAATTTGAAAAATAATAAGACCAATAACGAAGTTCAATTACAAGACAAAAGATATTTCTTAGGATTTGTAAAACACGATTTTCCACACCAAAGAAGTTCAACTGACGAAATTAAAAAAAAAAAAAAGATGGCTAATTGCTGAGATCCAATTAGCGGTCTGGAAGATCAAGCAGAGCTATCTTAAAACTTGGAGCAGAAATACAAAGAGATGGAAATTGTAAGACTTGGAGGACAGATCTGGGAGAACCACCCTGTATATAGCTGGGAATTCTGGAAGGACAAAAAGGAACAGTTGGAGGAATGAAAACAAATAGATAACTAAAACGTTTCCCTGAGTTATGGAAAGATATATCTGGAGATTGAAAAGACTGAAGGATACACACCTAGTCACATTCTGGTAAAATTCTTGTACATGAAAGCTAAAGAGAAAAATCATATATGCTCTCAGGAAGAAACAACAAATAACTTACACAAGAAAAGACTGGCTTTGGATTTCTCATTTGCAACAATGGATACTAGAAGACAGCTGAACAACACCTACTGATGTAGATAAAGGATTGTGGGCCCCCTAACCCTACATACAGCCAGATATTCCCATCAGGGTGAGCCAAACAATGTATCCCAAACTGCACTCACCTGCTCTTCCTTCTGTATTCCCTTTGCGACTTACGGTCCTCACCTGAGCTAGCAACCTTAGACTCTGCTTTCTTTCACCTCCCTCTTAATTCCACCATTCCTTTAAGTTTCATCAATTCTACCCCTTCAACATCCTTCAAATCCATTGATGAGGATAATCATCTATTTAATGTTGGACCAACTGTAACAGTTTCCTCTCTGGCCCCTTGCCGTGTGTGCTTGCCTTTTGTGAATCCACATTTCACACTGACATATAAGCAATCTTTCTAAAACAAAAATCTGATCACTCTTCTCCACGCTTAAAATTCTTCCACTGCTCTCACAGCCTGCCTAAACTACAAACACCTTTTTACCATGGCATGCAGGGCCTTCACCATCAGGCCTCCGCCCACCTCACCAACCTCATCTCTTACTGCTTCACCCCCTGAACTTGAAACTGCCACCATGTAAAATGAGAAAACTTGCAATTTCCCAAACAGGTGGTGCTATTTCACACTGGCATCTTTTGTCCCACCACTGTACACACCACTATTACAGTACTTAGCACACTGTATTATTTAATATATGTCTGTCTTAGCAACTTAAACTGGGCAATCCTGTACCCAGAACCTAGAAGGGCATCTGGCACATGACAAGCACTCAGAAACATCTGTACTGAGTCTGCTTTCAAGTAGGATATAGTAGGGTGTGGCAGGCCAATACTCCTGCTGATAACTAGAAAAAGCCAGATAAATTACAAAAATCACCTCCTAAAGCGTCGAACAGTTGTGGAAGCAACAAGGACTAGATGGACTAATACTCTAGCAAGGGGTGAACATTCAGAGTGAGTCAACAATCAATAGCTGGGTTTTTTCTGCCCTTGCTGATCCAGGACATGAGCTCAGGATTAGGGGGTGGCCCAGGATGAGGGCTGTCACTGAGGAAAGAGAAACCACAAGGCTTTTAATGTGGTAATGTGGGGCTGAGGGGGGACAAAACCGCAGTCTTTAGGGATCTCAAAATACAGGACTCGTGGGAGAAGGCTGCTGCAGGGGGTCAAATGGCTGAGAAATGCCAAGCAAATGAAAGAGATCAATCCATAGATTCAAGAAGCTCAGCATACCTAAAGTTGACGAAACTAAGAAAAACGCAGACACATCATAGTAAAACTGCTGAAAACCAAAAATAAAGAGAAAAATCTTAAAAGTAATGGAGCAATAAGATTGACAGACAACAGAAATTATGAAATCCAGAAGACAACACAATGATGTCTTTAAAGTGCTAAAAGAAAATAACTACCAACTTTGAATTTTATACCCTACAAAAACATCTTTCAAAACTGAAGGTAAAATAAAGATGTTTTTAGACAAAAACTGAGTGAATGCATTGCTATCAGGTCTGCACTAAAGTTAAAAATAAAGGGAGAAAATAAACCTACACAGAAGCATGGAGATGTAGGAGGGAATGAGGAACAATGGAATAGGTCATTATATATAAAAGAATATTAACTGTACAAAACAATAATTATGTCTTTTGTAGTCTAAGTGTATATATATAAAACCAAAATGCAAGACAACAATGCACAAAAGGCACATGGGGGCTGTGAAAGGAGTTAAGTGTATTAAGAGTCCAGCAGCATCAAGAAGCGGTAAGATAATTTGTATTAGACTATAACATGTTAACAATGCATGTTGAAAACTGTAGGGTAAGCTCCAAAAGAACTGTAAAAGAATATATATCTAACAAGTACAGAGAGCGCTAAAAATAGGATAATAAACATTTTTGATTTATCCAAAAGAAGGTAATAATGAGAAAAAAAGAAGCAAAACCAGTGGGTCAAATAGAAAACAATAAGATGGTAGACTGAAGCCCAACTGAAACAGTGATTTGTTAATTCAGAGTTTCTCAACAGTGGCACTATTGACCTTTTGGGGTGGATAATTGTTTGTTGGTGGAGGGCTGTCCTGTGTATGGTAAGATATTTAGTAGCATCTTTGGCCTCTGTCACCCAGATGCCAGTAGGACTCCCCCAAGTAACAACCAAAAATGTCTCCAGACACTGCTAAATGTCCTGTGGAGGGCAAAAATCACCTCTGGATGAGAACCACTGGTATAGAGTCAACATAATCCCAATCAAAACCCCAGATGGATTTTGTAGAAACTAACAAGCTGATTCTAAAAGTGATATGGGAATGCAAAGCACCTAGAAGAGCTAAGACAATCTTGAAGAACAGGAATTAAATTGGCAAGTTGTGGCAATGTAAGTTCTTACACCATCTGATTTCAAGAGTTACTGTCAAGGTACAATAATTGAAGGCAGTGTGTTATTGGCATAAAGACAGACAAACAGATGAATGGAACAGAAGAGAGTCCAGAAACAGCCCCCACGTATACAGTAGAGAGTCCATATGTAGACTTGCATACCTGACAAAGGTCACACTGAGATAAACTGGGGGAAAGAATGTTTTTTTCAATTAAAGTGGCTGTGTCACTTGGCTATCCATATGAAAAAATATATATGTCTTGATTCCATCTC